CAGTCTTGTGATGGAAATCCAACTCTAAGATGCTTCTTCTATGGTTTGGAAAGAACAGGTCTCACATATTCTAATAATGGCAAAGACCTATCAGGAACTCACAAAAAAAAATAATAATAAATTGAATTCAGCCAGCACTATCAATTGGCTGTCAAAAGTTCTTTGCTAACATTACTTTGGAATTATGGCCACATGGAGTATTGCAAGGAACTATAAAATGTGAATTCTCATAGCACCAAAATGCTTCAGATATTATTTTAAAAAGTTATAATATGTATGTATCATTTATAATAAAATTAAAATAAGGTGATATATGCATATACCCATGTATCAGCAATTTTATAAACATATATTTCTTGTATTTTCATTTTCTTCTGAAATTGTCCATTTGTAGAATATTACTCTGCATTTTCCATATGGAAAACAGTTCACTTTCTACCTATAATAAACTGAAGTCATTGGTTTTAAGAAGTAAATTATAACCTCTCAGAGAACATTACATTTTAAAATAATGTGATAAGAACAGATATTCTACAGTAAAATGGATCTTTCTCCCACAGTAATTCATTCTTGAGGTTGACAGAGCAGTTGAGGAATTTTCTTTTATATAGGTTTTGTTTTATACAAAACTGTTCTGTTTGTATTTTTATGCCTAAATATTTGCTAAAATGCATTACATAGTTCACAGATTTCACACAGCCACTGCCGAGGGATAATTCACTCACATTTGTATCATTAACTGCTGTGGAAACTCTAGTTCTCTGGCTGCCTTTAGAAGGGTTTATGAGTGTTTTATGATGTTTCCTGGTCATACTGTATTTTTACAACTGTTGCAAATAGACACAAATGTCATAAGTTACTGAAAAAAAAGTTATCCTCGATCCCTCCAAGTTTAATGAGGAACAGTTATAGAAAAGGGAAGTTTGCAAGTGCCACTAAAGTCAGCCTGATGGATTCCACATGTAGAATAAGTTCAGATCTTGGAGTCAGATTGGTTAAACTTCTAATGTACTTTTTATTTCATTCTTTTTTTCTAACACTATTTTAAATGCACCCTTAACTCTCGATAAATTCACTGTTTGCTGATGAATACAGTTATGTGTTTCAGGTAAATGGTCCAAAGTAGCTGTCTCTCCAGAGATACATATGCCCTACTCCTAATCAAATTATTTATATGTGTCTAGAAAGTCCCTATAACTAAAATCTTTAAAACATATTAGCATTCTGAATGGTATATTTGAGACACCGTATAAATGTAATGCTCAGTCTAAAGCATTATCATCACACATATATTACTATGATCACATACCTATTACTAGTAATAAATATTTATTTAGTGCAAAATATATGCCTGGAATGGTGCAAAGTGCCATGGATTCAAAGAGTTAAAAAGTAGAAATTAAAACAGAATACACATTTGTAATTAGCAATAAAAAATAAATATTAGTACTTAATTTATGCTACTGATAATAAAGAAACAGGGTTATGGAGAAAAAGCAGCCTAGTGATAAAAATACCTGAGGAAGAAAGAAAATGGTTAATATGCTCAAATTAGAAAAATAATTTAAAATGAAGGCTGGAGAAGAGTGTGGTAGATTTGATAGTACAAAATGCATAATTTCTTGCTCTTAAGTAATTGAACATTGACTGGCTATGATATGAAAGCAAATACATTATGTAATGTTTTAGAATAATTCTCTCATACCCACCTAATACATCCAATAAAATAGATCATATTATTATTCTAGATTTTTTAAATTAAAGAATTGAGCCCTAGTAATATAAACATTTGCTGGAGGTCACAGAGTTAGTGAAATGATGGAGAACAACCTTAAACCAGTGAAATTTGACTCCAGGCTCAGGTTTTAACAAATACTCTATAATGGGATGTGAGTATGAGGCATATTTGAATTCAAGTTCACTACTAACTTTTGATCTTTCTGTATACTCGCACATTCTTTCTCTCAATCTTTCTTTCTCCCTCTCTCTCTCATAATAATTGTCAGTCAAAATAACACATTACATTTTATCAAGGATTAAAAATGTTCTTAATGAAATCTACTATCTAAGAGCACCATATAGAATAACTTTCAAAGGGGATCGTATGCATTCCTACAATTAAATTCCTCCAATATTTTGCAAAAATACCTCAACTAAAAGTTTTGGATTAAGTCTTTGGCTTGTTCATCTAAAACCATGTATAATATCACTATTTATATATGGTAGATATAGGGGGATACCATAGAAAATAAATTCTTAAGGTCTTACATGGAATGAAACTTTGAAGAATTAATTCACCTTAATATGAAAACTAATTTTATATTATTTATATTAATTTTTACTAGAAATTTAAAAAATATATATTCCCTGAACCTTCTTTCTATTCATTGAGCTTTTTTTTTTTTTTTTCAAATACATACACTTATTTTCCTCCAGAATTAAAAACAAAGGGGTAACTTATGCACCAACATTTCTTTTTCTAAGCTTGGTACAATAAATAAAAATAATATCTGATTTTAGACAAGTTAGAACTTTTGTAAAGAATGCAAATGAGACAAACACACATCACTGAAATTAGTCTGCATTTTAATTTGTTCAAGGGAAACTAAAAAGATGCCTAAAGGTAAATGCAGTTCATGCCTTCTTTGCTCCTATCATAATTGTGCTTTTGTTCTATTGCTGCATGCATTCCCACTATCAAACTACTGTATATTTGATTCTTGCCTATGGCAGTGCAGTGGCCCAGACTAATAGAAGACGGAGCGGCATCAGGACTACATTAGGAAAGGAATGTTTTATTTAAGGACCCGGCTGGTAACTCACTACCATATTTCCCTTTACAATTTGCTCACTCTAATTGTTAAAACATTTCCTGCTATTTCAGAAGAGCAGAGACCACAAAGACCTACAGAGGAAGCACTACCAGGTTTACACTAAAGGAACAAATTTGTTTTGTGTCCTACATTTATGAGCATTTTAAACATGTCTTGCATGACTCCTTTTTCTCTCTCTATTAATTGTTCAGAATTGAAGATTAGTACTCCTTTAGGCTCTAAAATGAGTAATTAATAAAGTACCTGCATTTTGAAGCTCTCGGAATGAAAGTCGGTGAGATAGAACACAGACAAATGAACCTAGAGGCGCACATGCACCGAGAAGTACATTAAGAACAACTTCTCATTTCAAAATGGATTTGAGATTATCGAACTGTTTTCTTCTGACTTATAGTTTTACTCTAAGTAGTAAATGCTGCGCCACTGTTAAAAAGTGGGATATCTAAGGGATTTATTACTGTTAAATAGTAGGAGCATTTTAAAAATAATCACATGGTTTTTAAAAACCAATTAGGAGCCCAGCCAGTATGGCTCAGTGGTTAGGTGTCCACCTATGACCCAGCAGATCACAGTTGGATTCCCTGTCAAGGCACACGCCTGGGTTGTGGGCTCGATCCCCAATGTGAGGCGTGCAGGAGGCAGCTGATCAATGATTCTCTCTCATCACTGATGTCTGTATCCCTCTCCCCTTCTCCTTTCCTCTCTGAAATCAATAAAAAAATATTTTTTAAAAGGAACCAATTAGAAAAGCATTAGAAATGAACTGGTTGAGTATAAAATTCAATAACAATTTTCCAGTATATTGTTAAAAGCTTTAAATAACTAAATTATATTTGCAATATTAACAGATTTCTAGTGGATATGTGAGACAGTAGTCTTTAGTTCTGGTAATTATTGCAAGTGTCATATTAAGACAGTTAAATTCTCTACTCTGTGAACTCTCTTTGTTTCAGACAAATGTACTTTTCACAACTCCCACATGACAGGTGAAACATGTAAATAAATCAATACACAGAAAAATGAAATATGTATGTATTCGATAGTATACATATCTTAATTTCTGAACTTCTGGTAGTTATTATCCATGTATTCAATATCAGAAAAGCATCAAATATCTTTTAAAGCTTGCAATTTCATTTGGGGCAGAGCCTGAGCTATAATAAAGGTTTAAATCAATATATTTGCAACCTCACAATCACAAAAGGCAGCAATCCTCATGCTTACTAAATCAGTCAGGATCATTGCGTGAGGAAACCAGGGACACACCCTTTTAACATTTTCCCAGATATTTTGATGAGCTCTAAAATGTGTATAGCACTGGTTTTAGCACTTTCTGCCTAAATAATTAAACTTGACCAAACAGTCCTACACACAATGGTTTTGTTATTCCTTTTGTTTACTTTGTTTCTGTGATTCCTAGTCACCTGCTTGACCAAGGTATTCTCTTCATAACTGTGACTTTCAAATCTGATCATGCATTAAAATCTCCCGGGAACCCAAACACAAAGTTGTTGTTGTTTTTTTTTTCTGTATACGGACATTTTCTATCACCCCAAACAGCCCTTATTTCCCTTTCCAATCAATCCTTCTCTGTCAAAGGCAGCCACTATTACTTTTACCTGTCTCTGAATTTCATAAAAAGGAAATTTCATCTCATACATTGGTTTAGAGTCTAGACTTTAGACAATACCAGGGGGAACCAGTCCTCTAATTCCCACATAGATTCTATCGTAGTGTTTCAAAATCAGGTCAACACCTATCATGGGAAGTTTTTAAAAATGCTAACATATAATGCATATTAATTGTCATCAGTTTCTTGTTTTCAAGGATTAAAATCTCCTTTGATAAATGGATACTCTACTCACCCAACCCAATTGATCTGAGTAATAGAGAAAAAAGGTCTCTAGTTCTTTTAAGAACATTAATGTAGGAAACTACACAGTGTTAAATATTGTCTTAAAGTCAATTTGCCTACCTTTGGAAAATCCATATCTTGGGGGAGCAGAAAACCCATATCTTGACCATCTTTTAACTTTGCTGGATGGCCCATGTGTTAGGAGATCTCTGAGGGAGGGTGGCAGAACCAGGGGCCAACTGAAGGAGGATGTTTCTTAGAAGCATTAAGCTTCTCTTTCA